GCATCTCTCATATTTATTGATCAAATGGTTGTTAACAACAATAAAATTCTGTATAGGGGACTCAATGCACAATCATTAATCAACCCCAAGCCTAATTCTCAACAGTCTCCAATCTTCTGAAGCATAACGAACAAGTTCTTACATGGTGAACAAGTTCTTACATAGTGAATAAGTTCTTACAAGGTGAACAGTGCAAGGGCAGTCATATCACAGAAACTTTCGGTTTTGATCACGCATCATGAACTATAAACAATCAAGTCAGATATTATTATTCGTTTGATTTTTATACTTGATTTATATGTGAATCCCACATTTCTCCCTTATTATTATTATTATTTTTTTAATAAAATGCTGAAGTGGTAGGTAGATGCAAGATAAAGGTAGAAAACATAGTTTAGTGCTGAATAGCTATCACTTTTTGAGCACAGAAAGAGGTTTAGTAACTTTCCTAGGGTCTCACAGCTAGTCATAGGAGAACCATGATTTTATCACATCTATATTATTCCAAAGCCTGTGCTTTTAAGCATTATTCCAATCTGTCTACCACAAATATTCTTCTATTCCTCCCTATAACCTAAGGCAGGACGTTTTTCTGTATTTTCAGGTACCTGTTTCAACTGCTTAACTGCCACTAAAAGTGCAAAATCAGCCAGAGACAGTATAGATGACAAAATGAATGGTCATGGCTATGTTCCAGTAAAACTTTATTTACAAATACAGATTTGGCCCATAGGCAATAAACTAATTCCTGCTTTAAGGGAAAAAAATGTTATCTACATCTTACAGCCCCAAAAAGCAAAATTCAGGAGGGAAGATTTGACTTGTCTGAGGACACATTCTGCGACCCAAGAACCATTTTAATGAGATTTTCTTTGTTTACTTAAAATAAATAAATATGAATTATAAATATACATATATACTGCTAACGTACAATCATCTCCCCTGCCCCTTACACAGGCTGCTGACTGTAATTCAGGAATGTGAAGCACAGCCATTTCAGAATGAAAATCATCACCTCTCAGTCAGTGTTCTCATAGCAACCCAGGTAGCTAATGATAGGACAGTTCTACAAAGCATTCTGCCAAGAGGCAGCTCCCTAAACACACACTGTGGTACATCCCCTAAGCCTAGGCACCGCAGCACCTGGGGCAATCTGGGATATGAGGGATATGCCAGAGGCAATGTCATCGTTCATTTTCAAACTCTCTCCATATCTGCTAATGGTACAGAACTCCCAGGTAAAAAAAAAAAAAAAACAGCTGAACATTTATTTCCTGATGCCAGAATCAACCTATGTCAGCAGAAGCACTATTGATTTAAGTGTCATGTACCAAAAGTCCCAGCAGGCCATGATTACAGAAACTGATTAGTGTGGGTCCGCTAACAGGGAAGTCTAGGACTCTGGCCAGCTTCCAGGGCTCCATTAGCACAGAAAGGGAAGCCTCAATTCAAGGACTTCCAAGGCCATTACACAGCTGAGGTGGGCAGCTGCCTCCTTTCCAAACCACAGTTACAACAAGCCGAGCTGATGTATGATGGTAGCTCTCTCCTTAGAGAAATTAGAAATGAGTATATCCTTGGCCTATACTATAGGCTGATGATTTTCTGCATAACTCTGTACAATATTCATAGCTCCACTTTACAGATGACCAGACATAGGCCCTATGATGGTTAATCTTTTGTGTCATCCTGGCAAGGCATGGCACCCAGTTGTTCGGTCAAACACCAGTCGGGAAGGAATTTTTTATATGTGATTTACATTTACCTAAGCAGACTCTGAGTAAAGCAGATTACCCTCCATGACGTGGGTGAGCTTCATCCAATCATTTGAAGGCCTTAAGAGAAAGGACTGCTGTCCTCGTAAGGATGAAGGCATTCTGCCTCCAGACTGTCATGGGACTAAAGACTGCAACATCAAACTCTTCCCTGGGTCTCCAGCCTGTAACCTGCCCTGCAGATTTCAGACTTACTAGTCCCCCCACCCCTGCCCCAATCATGTAAGCTAATTCCTTAAAATTTGTATCTCATCTCTGTCCACATCCTAGGATACAACATGAGCACCTGTGGCACAACATGGAACTGAGCCCAGTGGCCCAGACATGGTTACCTTTTTGCGTGGCCGAAGCTTATCCCGCCATTCCTTCAGGTTCTGATTATGGCCCTCATCCAGGGCCTTCAGCTTCTGGGTTTCATGCTCTACCAGGAGGTGACACTTTTCATTCTGGAACAAATTCCAGGCAAACCGGGTAAGAAACTCAGAAGGCAGAGGTGCAGAGGGCTGAAACATACCTCATACAATAGCCATGAAGGTACCAATATCATTCATTTATTATTTCTTATTGATTATAAACCTCATTTATATAAAACTCTAAACAAGCAAATACATATGCACTGAGAGATGTCAGGAGGAACATTCCAGAATAGTGTTAATAGTTCTTATTGTATAACAGGATCTGCAGTTACTTTGTAACTTTCTTCCTTGTGCTTTTGTATTGTTTAAATTTGTCAACATGAATATATATATGTCATTTTAATAAAACTATTAACAATAATATGTGTGTCCTAATCCCACCATACATAGGCAACCACTACAAAAATTTGGATATGTTTCCCATCAGGCTTTATGTTGTTTGGCTCATCTTGTATATACATTTCTGAATCTGCTTCCCTCCCCACTTAGTTTTATAATGTAAACATTTCTACAAAGAACTGACATTTTTCAGTCATTCTGAATGTCTCAAGAATATCCCACAGTGTAAATTCATCAAATTCACTTAAGTGTTTCCATATTTTGGCTAGTTGGTTGCTCTTAACATTTTTATGTTAATAGCATTATGCCTCCCCAAAATTCATATGTTGAAGCCCTAACCCCCAATGTGATTGTATTCAGAGGTGGGGCCTTTGGGAAATAATTAGGTTTATATGAGGTGATGAGGGTGGGATCCTCATGGAATTAGTGTCTGATAAGAGCAGACACCACAGAGCTTGGGGTTGTTCTCTCTGTCATGTGAGGACACAGCAAGAAAGCTGCAAGCCAGGGAGAGGCTTCGCTGGGACCCAACCACACTGGTAGGCTGACCTTGGACTTCCAGGTTTCAGAACTGTGAGAAAAGAAAACCTATTGTTTGAGCAATCTGTTGTATTTTATTATGGCAGCTTGACGAAATAATGTTATGTATAAATGTTTGTTTACATTTATATAAATCAATTGTATAATTTTCTGCATCACTTATCATTTCTTCAGGAGACATTTGTGGCAAGGGATGAGGGCCACGGACCTACTTGAGGCTTCCCAACCTCACAGTTCACTCTCTGAGGTAAGTTATCTGCCTCACAAAATTTACCTGGAATTTCTCACAGGCAGAAGTCCCTATTGATTCCTCCCAGGGAATCAGTCTGGTGGTTTCTAAGGAGCTTATAAAGCAGGGGAAAAGTGCCTTTATCCAGGTACCTTACCCTTATGAGGCCGAAGAATGGAAGCCTTTGGGGGATATTTATTTTGAGTTTCAAGCTCAAGGCTTCTGAAAGTTTAGAAATTGGTTTCCTTAGAAATAACACTCATAGCAGCACTGAGTACCTCTGACCTGGCAGGAGCTGGGCCCGTGACACTTTATATGAATTCTCTCAGTTAATCTTCACAGTGACCCCATGAAGCAGGGGTGGGAAAATGATGTAGAAGGTGAGGGCCTTGGCTAAAATTCACATAGAGACAAATGGTAGAGTCCCTACCTGTTAGGCTTCAATGCCTGTAATATTGTCTCCCTGCCTTTCCAGAAATTGCCAGATGGACCCAGCAGCCTGAGCAAGTTCCTGAGGTCAGCCCATCCCTCAGGTATGACAATGCCTCGCTTCACCACAAGGGGGCTCCAAGTATCAGCTCCGAGGGTGGGGCCTCTCGGGGTAAGCGGCCTCCAGCGGCCACCAAGGAGCTTGGTGACCCCTTTACCTGGTTTAGTGGGAAACCTTTGAGCTTCTCACCATTAGGTTGATGTTTACCAAGTTGAGGAAGTTCCTCTCTATTCCATGTTTACTGTTTATCACGAATGAGTGTTGGATTTTTTCAAATGCGTTTTCTGTATCTATTCATACACTATTTTTCTTTCTTCTTTAGTCTGTTGATGTAGTGACTTACATTAATTGAGTTTTGAATGCTGAACCAGCCTAGTATAAATCCTGCTTGGTCATGATTAAAAATTCTTTTTATACCTTGTTAGATTCAATTTGCTAGTATTTTGTTGAGGATTTGAGCATCTGTGTCTGGTTTTTGGAATTAGGGTAATTGGGACACCTTTCCCAAGACACAGTGATCACCGAGGCATCACCTGGCACTTTCAGCTGTCATCTCATTACAAAACCTCACTCCAAGCCTGCAAAATGGGAATTCCACCACCACTCCACACCCATTTTGTGGATGTGGGAACTATGGCTTGGCAGTGAGATAACGGGGTGATTGGCTGGGGAGAGGAAAACTACAGACCAATGTCTCCCATGAACACAGATGCACAAATTCTCCACAAAATAATCGTACCACAGGATTGAAACCATTCCAGCCTGGGCTTGTCTGATGAGAATCCTTCCCTGTTTGTAGTCTTTGGTCCCTGGAAGCCTGCCACCTTGGGGAACTGAGGCAGTGTGGCACAGGGAGGGTAGTACCTGCAACTGCTGCAGCTCATTCATGTTGCTCTCACACTGTGCTACCATGTCCCGCATCTGGTTCTCGTGTTTTTGCTGCTGCTGTAGCCTCTCCGACTTCTGCCTCTTCTCCTCCTGCTGGGAGAACTGCAACAGAGAGAGGATGAGGGTCTCAGGGGGACACAGGCCAGGCTGGTGGCCCTGTAGCAGGACTGGTACTGCATGGCTCTAATGCCCAGCACCAACAGGCTGCACCCCTGTTTTAAGTCTTCCTCCTGAGCTGAAACCCAGATCCTGTCTTCAAGGAGCCCCCAAACCGGGAGGGATATGAGTGTGCTGCGACATGCTAGGACAGTTTGTATACCACACAGGAATCCAGGGCCACCAACTCCATGTCCCCAAGCCACATGGAATATGCAAGTGGGGTCATGGTGGATGAGAGGAAGGGGTTTACCAGCAGAGGAAGCTGCAGGCTGGAAGCACCAGGGTGAAAGGAAGATGCTGAGAAAGCAGGGCCAGGCTTCCTCCTCTGTCTACCAGAGGGGCATCCACAGTGAGGCTGCCAGGCTGAGACGTGCATGCATCCCTCCAAAGCCCTGTGCTACATCTTACATGGTTGGGAGAATGGAGAATATGAGGTCAGGTCCCATCAAATCTGGATGTGTCCCCGTTTCAGTACAGCCACAGACTCCCACCTGCTTGATTTTCTCACGCTGCTCAGAGGCGCTGCCCGCGCCGTTGATGTGCAGGCTCTTCTTGTACATGGCCATGCGAGTCTTGCCCTCACTCCTCTGGATCTTGGGTAGCCGTGCTTTTTCCTGCTGCTGCCGCACCTTGAGCTGCTCGGTCATGCGCTGGTTGTAGCGCTGCATCTGCTCCCGCTCCTGAGGGGACAGCAGCCCGGGTTGGGATGGGGTGTGCTCAGAGGCCACAGGCCGCCACACTCAACCCGCATGGCCTGGAATGCTCAGCAGGGCAAGGTGTGTATCACTGTACTTCTATTGTTAACATTTTCTGTTCTCATTTTCTAAATTATTTTCTTAATGACATTTTGGATTCTT